TTAGTGAAGATTACTAAAATGTAAAATACTTTACCTTTAACTATGATACAGCGCCTCCATCAAACAGTACTACTAGTGCAAGTGCTACTACTACTACTACTACTAGTACTGATTCTACATCAAGTGTACTAGTGATATCAGCAATAGTTTCAGTTTTGGTTATAGTTGTTACTTTAGTGATGATGATTGTTTGCGTGATTTTTATAAAAATTTATAGAAAAAAGAGGTATCTAATGATGGGGAGCTAGTGTATGCATGTATTAACTTATGTTTAATAGCAGTAAAAGTCATGACATTGATGTAACACCTAATGCAGGCTATGGCATGATTGATGTTGTCAATACAACCACAGAGTGAGTAGTAATTCTACTTTATCAGTGTTAGATCTACTTCTGCTAACAGAAATGAAGATGGAGTTTATGAAAGAATAAAGGATGATCAGGTTTATGAACAATTAGATGAACCTGATCTGCTTGTAGCAAGAGAAAGTGCTGCTGACACAAGTAGCACAAAATATAAAAATACTACTGTGCCTATTGTTAAAGGTATGACTATAATTCTGTTACTTATTAGCGCTACATATCTATCATGCATATAATTTATTATTTTAGCCAGACTAAGTAGCACAACATATGAGAATACTACTGTTCCTCTTGGTAAAGGTAATATTATTGGTTGCTACATATCTATCATGCATACTTTATTCTGCTAATTAGAGTCTGCTAGCTTTCATGAAACAGAGAATGAAGAATGTGTGTATGAACTAACTGATACCTCATAGTAACTTTTTTTTGGTGTGCATTTACCAAGCAAATTTTATAAATGTGCTGCATAATAAATCTTCATACATTATAATAGTTTGGTTTGATTTATAGATCTAATAGTCATTTTCGCTTACACTGGTGAAGCTATAGCCTGACCAATCACACAGACCTAGTCTCGCGTAGCCAGACCCATCCCCCTTTTTGATAATTGGACGGCGGGGGAAGGGACCACCAGACCCTTCCCCTGCCATCCAATTATCGAAAAGGGGGATGGGTCTGGCTACGCCAAGACTAACACAGACCCATTGAAATAACTTACAACCACTTGTGTTATAGTTCTTTTATAGACACTAGATTTGATGTATGTAAAAATCTGTTGCGCATAAGTTGCCTTGCCAGAAATTGATACTTTGATAGTTTACTGTAACTAAACAGTTTACTGGATGCTGTAGACAAAAGACAAACAAAATTCAATAAAAGCATAATAATTGAATTTATGTATTAAAGCTCCAGTCAAGATTGTTGAGTTTATCTGGTCCTACACTCAATAGAGAATAAGAAGTGATAGGTGTGGTTGCAGGGCTAACAATATGAGACAGGTCATCATTAAGATGTGGTAAGCTCAGTTGACTTAATATGATTTTTTTCCATATTGAGAAGGAAAAGGTTTGTACTAGCAAAAAAGTGACTGTGTCTATACCTTGTTGAGCAAAGCCATTGCTATCTTTTTTGACAGCACAGCTGAAGAAAAAAATCTAAAAATAACACAACCCACATTTGGATCCACAATGACAAATTAGATGTGGGCAGTTGCTTGAAAGGCTATTATAACTATTAAGTTGATTATCTTTATCTTTCTTATTTTTTGGAACGGCACCAAGTAAGATTAAGACATGCACCATGCAGTTTTATCATTGTACCCTTCTTTGTCCCTCATTCTATTTTTGCTATTTTCCTCTCTCCATTCCTTGATGGTAATAATACTAGGACACGTGTACTTGCTATTGTTATTCCAACAGTCATTATTCTTGTTGCCATGTAACGTGGTATCAATTGTAAAAGTAAACGAGTTTATGATAGACATTAATTGAGAAACAAAAGGGTTATAGAGGTTAGATCTATATCCCAGATTCCCAGTATGTGTGCATGTTTATCCATACATTGTCATTTGTATTAAAACTAGAACAAAAAAAAAATTTTAATTATTTAGTGTAGGGTTGAGCCTCTGTTGGATTTGAACCTATAAAATGAATTCAAACAAGCCCCTGTAGGGTTGCTGGTTTCAAACTATAAAATAAATTCAAACAAGCCCCTGTAGGGGTATTACAGGTATCCCTCGAAGGTTTCCAATTTCTCTCCATTAAAATAATACTGAGCATGCGCAGTTGGTTGAATTAAAATGGCGTCCAACCACTTGGTGAGTCCATGTGTTCTTGAAAATAACGACAAGAAATCATTTTCTAGAATTACAATGCCAAGCCACACTGCACTAGCGTCCCTGAAACGTAACACAATGGTGCAAAAATCATATTTCTAGGATAAAAACTCTAGGACTAGTTTTTACTTAACTGTGGAAGAAGAACAAACCTGAACATTTGGTGCATGCAGGCATGCATGCATTCATTTGCCGTAAAACTATCTTATGGAAGTTTTTAACTACTTTTTATAACCCTAAACTGTTTTGATGAAATTATAAAGGACATCTGGATTGTCAGATAAGCCGGCCATAAAGAATTTCTAAAGATATTAAACGGGCTCAATGCTTCTGGGATGGCAGCCATTTTGGGGGCGCGATCGTCCAACTCAACCCTACATACCAAGCGCTAGAGCTTGGTAATATTGTTCTTTCCTCATTGTTGACATATGTAGATCTGGTGGCCCTAAGTCATCCAGTGCATGGCATGAAGAAACGGTTTGACATGTGTACAATACTGATGGTCCTACTAATGGAGGTGATGAGAATCAGGTGGAGAGTCTGGTGGTTCATAGTATTCTAATTATAATAGTATAGACCTACTACTGCATAGAGAGATATAATGTGACCAGTGAATAAATTAAATTAATGCTTTTATAAACTTTTTAAGTTAATAATGTCCTGTTTATCACTGTTCTTGTTTTTATTGTTTCCTAAAAATTTTGCCTACGGTATGTTTTGCTGCATTATACTCCACACTGATAGAAGGTGGGTGAGAGTGTCTAAGCATAAGTTTGTAATTACTGCATGTCCAGTAGTGGTGGGCGATATATCGATATTTTATCGATACAAACGATATTTTACGGTATCGATTCGTATCGGTATCGAAATTTTGAAGGAATCTGGATCGATACATTGACCACGCCCATATATTATGGTTAAATAATATTAATAATGAAAATTTTAATAAGTTAATGACGTAATACACACACGTGGATACACGTGCATGAAAACATCGATGAAAACAGTCAATAATAAGGGGTGTGACCACCATAGGTGTGGTCTAAATATTGTATCGAAACTGTATCGATACTCTCGATATGAGCTGATATCGATCGGTATCGTATCGAATCCATTTTGGCCAGTATCGCCCACCACTACCCTGAGGGGGGTGCTCAAGCCCCCTCAGCCCCCCCCCCTAAATACGCCTCTGGTAAGTTGATTCCAAGCATAGCTTGGTAAAAAATAAATTGCTTCTTCCAGAGCTGCAGATCTGCATCTGAGCATGCGCGACCACACCCAAATTTTAGAGCACATGGCAAGCTTCTTTAATTAACAAAATGGCGGCATGCAGCTAAGATGGCTCGATCCAGCAGTCACAGTATCACTTTTTCCTTACTTGAAGAATGATCTGATGGGACATGGACCTGCGCATAGACTGTTGGAGTAGATTGGTGTAAGAATTATTCTTGTAGCACCAACTGATACTGAGATACACACCGACAACTGGATTGACAAGACTTGATTATGAAGATGAAGATGAAGATGATGATGAAGATGAAAAAAGGTGGCTGAACAAAACGGCCGGTTCGCCGATTTTTGACTTTTCGCTTAGACAAGGTCTAGAGCCACGCTAGTGGTACCATTGGATTCCTCTGGTCAAGATAAGGTCCTCTAAGAAGTCTGGTAAGCATAGGAGCTCGTTTTCCCGGTATAGCAG